TATATATATATATTTCACTTTGAATGATCAGCTACAAGGTTGACTTTGTGTAATTTCGTAGCGCATATACGCTTTGATGATTCAACGTGAAGTATCGAGAGTTGGAAAGTTCCCTTCTCGACAAACAAACAAAATATATGATTCCCCTCTAGCAAGGTCATATCAGTGCTGTTGGTTTTAACAATGTCGGTAATGAGCAGTGAAAAGTCATGGAAAAGAACCTTTCAATATATCTCGGTTATGTAAGGCTAGTGAACATTACTGTATACCCGGATGGGGATAGATATGAAGTCACGCTATAGCTTATAGTATGAATAGTTGTGTAGGTGCTAGTACAAGATTTTTATTTTTTTATAGAAAATCTGTCAAAATTAAAAGCTTCACGTGGTGAAGTCGGGAAAAAAAGATATATATATATACACACACACACTTTATGCATACCTGTCTGTATACATATATATTTATGAGTGTTAAAAATATATAGATATATGTATATACATAAAGAGTGATGTGAACCAAAGACCCATACATTACGCATACCTTTCCTTTACAAAGTGTGTCCTCTGGTAAGACCCAGGCAGGTTACAACCTAAGCGAAATAGTCATAGTAGGTAGCAAGGCCAGTGACACGATATCGACGGGGCTCGTCGTTGACGAGGTGAGACTGCTTTTATTTGAAACAACTCGATAACAATTCACTCGGGGCTAGTCAAATGCGTAAGGGCTTGGTTGCGAGGGCTGCTATCAATGGTTGCGTGGACTGCTATCAATGGTTGCGAGGACTGGTTGCGAGGGCTGCTATTAATGGTTGCGAGGACTGCTATCAATGGTTGCGAGGACTGGTTGCGAGGGCTGCTATCAATGGTTGCGAGGACTGCTATCAATGGTTGCGAGCTCTTGCCCATAGGTTGCGAGGAGTGCATGATGTGGCTCTATCAATGGTTGCGAGGGACGCGAGGTGCTACGCGAAGTTCTGGCCTCGAGTTGTAACTGAGGCTGCGCCGAGGAACGCGAGGTGCTAGGCGAAATTCTGGCCTCGAGTTGTAACTGAGGCTGCCTGTAATTGAGGCTACATCGAGGAAGGCGAGGTCATGAATGGTGGGCCGGCCGTGAAGTTGACAGGTGGGTGAACCAAACTGGTTGCACAAATGGAATTGCTGGGCATCGACGAAACTGCCGATAAGAGAATCGCTGGGTATTCGACCAACGTGGGTTTAAATCGACAGAGGCAAAACTGCTAAACAAGTGGCAGCGAAGAAGAATGGCAGCATAAAATCGACCGGCGTTGGCGATTTGGGAGAGAACAGCTACCTAAAGTTGATGGTTGGAAGTCGATGGGCTCAGCTTCGAAAACAACCACCGAACAAGAAAGTGGCAGCGAAGAAGGCTGAGCAGAACGGTGGTCTGGCGAGTCCATCTATGGAGTCTGATGGCGACGGTGATCGACGAGCTGCAGTCTGTTGGTGACAGCGAACGGTGAAACCTGTATCAGTCCGGACCCGTCCTTGTGTGTACCAGCTGCCCAATTGGCGCGTACGAGATCGACCAGCGTGGTTGGTTCAATGAAATTGATGGGCCTCCAACAAGATAATCACATTGCAGCTCAAAATACATTCAAAATTTACATCCCTGAAATTGCATTTTCGATTTTTTCCTCCTATCATTCATATGTTGGGGTGGTTTGAGTAAGCACAAAGATGGTGCGTTATCATCGATAGAGATGTCGAAGGTAAAAGTGTCTTGTAATGCTGCAACAAGAAGAATAAGTTTCTGGGATGACAGTGTTGTCTCTGAACTTGGTTTCTATTAGCATACATGTACCTAAGCATAGAAGGAAGACAATACATTGACAACAACATAAGAATGAGCTTGGGTCGTGGATATCAACAGGTTTCGTCATCAACGACCATGTAACCTAAAATCTAAGGGTCTTGCTGCTTGTATGAGAAATATATATATTTGACGTGTTTTTTTTTTCAAATAAATGTATCTCAAAGCATGCGGAGGGGCCATGGTCTACCCAGTGTGTCGCTAGACAGATAGATGGTGTCTAGATTAGTATTGGAATATGAAAAAATATATAAAAGGCCAAAGTATTATATACTGTGATATTGAAAGAGCTTAAGTTGGTGAGACTGCTCTCATTTGAAATAAGCTTCATAAAGCTCAACTCAAGCCAGGTCTGGTGTCAGACTTTTAAAGAGATGGCACGTGGGTTTTGTAGCATTATATACGTAATAAATGGAGTGTGGGGTTACTCACCCTTAATATATGTATAACACTTGCAGCAGGTTATTTATTTATTCATTTTTTTAGTTGAATACTCGCAGGTTTCTTTACCTGCATGTGATGACAAGTCAAGTCAAGTCAATACTAGGTGCTGAGTTTGTGTAACACAGTCTCCTAGGTGGAAAAAAAAAAAAAAAAAAGAAGTTTGTGGGCTAAGTAAAATTTGAAGATTGTGTAGTCAAATCATGATAGCGTGTAGAGTTGAATTAATTGTCTACATGAATGTAGGCTACGAAAGCGTCTTACATGGTTGGAAAAGGCTAATAGACCCCTAAACAATCTTAATAAATGGATAGAGAAAGTAACTGAGCAAGAAAGAGATAACATCTCCTTGATGGGACCATTAGTAAAATAAACAATCTTAGGCATAAAGCAACAACTCCTTTGCGAGATTGTATGCAAGATTGTGTACTAAAGTCACCTTTATTATCATTACAGTGGGTGTGGGTAGTCCCTATTACAGTGGGTGTTAAAGCAATAGTTTAGAAACAGATGTAAGAGTGGGACTAATTAATAGCGAGAACGTATGTATTACTTGTAGTTGTATGACGAATAAAATAGAGATGCCATTAAACATGGGTTCTCTTAAATTTCCGTACACTATTGGTCGTAACCTGATTGTAGGTCACGAAGATGGTATATATATATATACATATATATATATATATGTATATTTGTGTGTAACGAAAAGAAAGTCATGGCAAGTGATTAACAAGTATATGCAAAGAATTGAAGAAGCTTAAAGCATAGAACGGGCTCACTAGAAACGAGGTAGTAAACCTCAAGCTTCAGAGGTATATTGTAGAAGGATGGTCGCCTGAGTCCATCGACTTTGTGCTGATATTCCTAGCGGAGTAGCCAAATTGTGGGAGTTCGTATTCGTAACACAATAAAATACATATAAATGGTAATATCATACACAAATCTGAGTGATTCAGACAACATAATAGGATCTGAGGTGGACTGAGAGAGGTGAAAACACAGGCAAACTCGAGAGAGAGAGGGTGAAGATGGCAGTGTCATGGTAGACCATTGACTCCCTTGATGAGGGTGTATGGAGAAAGCATAAAGGTTATTTTCTCCTCCCTTGTTGCTCTACCTTTACTTGGTCTTGGAACACATCCTTATATAGGCCAAGTAAGAGGTTGGGTGATGTCATATGACATCATATGTGGGGCCCATTAACATTATAAAATAATGTTAATTAAGATGGGTCTAGAATGTATGGGAGTCAAAATGGTATCTCTCTCTGCGAGTCAGGTCGAGTGTTAATTCAACGAGCCCTGAACTTCATCCACCAAACCAAGAACCTCCTCGGATCCCAAGTAATCCTGAGTCCTGCTCCCAAATCAGGTCTTCTAGTTTTCGATCTTCTGTTCGAGGTATATTGATAACGTGGTAAATGGCACGTATCTTTGACCATTGACCGTTTGATTTGTGGGCCATCGTTGTTGATGTGGCGTAGTCTGTTGACTATTTGACTAAGTTATGTGGTCATTGTTGATGATGTGGCATAATTCTTTGACTATTTGACCAAGTTATGTGGGCCATGTGGGCTAACATATTTTGGACACCTACAGTAGGTGATACTCAAAGCCCACTCAGTCTGCTCTTAAGCGCACCGGTTGGGTACTGTAGCTTTCACTGTTGGTTTGTCACTAAGAATTTTCTGTTGGTTGCCGTTCTAAAACTAAGGTTGGTCGCTAATCTGAAGTTCACCGAATTGGTCTCTGAAGTTTTTCCGTTGTTTCTTTTCAATATAGCTTGACCCACTGTATGATTCTCTAAGTTGTAGTATATATATTATATGTTTAATTATATCTTTGATTCTTTGAAGCTCGTTGTGTTTTAATCTTTGATCAGAGATAAGATGCATGTATATTTATTTAAACCAAGGGCTTCAGCTCTTGAGTTTGCTCCCATATGTTCACTGTTGCACTATGTATATTTGATTTGATCAATATAGCCGTTTCCCATTTAACCCATCCTTGCCCTTCATTTACACGAAGGTTGAGTGCATATTTAATAGCCTTTTGTTGACAGTGCATTGAAAGTTTATTTTTTAGAATTTAGAAATCAAGGGAACTGAAACTTTAAAATTTTTAGATATTCCATTATAGTATGTAACCATTTCATATATCTAAAATTCTAAGTAAATTTCATATTTCCATTTCTTACCGAAAAACAGAATAAGATTTTCCATTATAGTACAGAACACCCTAACATTTGATTTTTCATTTCCGAAATTCCAGATTTTCCATTCTAAAAATTTTAGAAATTTTAAATTTTCCAAAGTCAAGAGTTTCAGAAACTCATAGTCAAAAACTTCATATATTTCTCACCACAAGAGAAGAAGAAAGACATTTACTTGGCTTTCTTCTTTTGACTGGATTTTAGTCAATTAATCCGTGTCCTTTAAGTCGGGTATTATGGATAATGGATTTAAAATTTTTTCTTAATTGATGGATATATATATATATATACACACACACACTTTAAGTCAAAGAAGAGAGAGAGAGAGGGGGCTTTTGGAATTTTTGGATATTTTGGTTATTTAAAATGGGTCTCAGAGGTAATTAAGTCATTTCATATTTGAAACAAATTTTTGATAAGTCAAAACAAAGTTAAAAGAGTAGTAATGTCATTTTACATGTGAGTGAAATTATCCCCCTCTCCCTCTCTCCCTCTCTCTCTCTCTATATATGTATATGGGCTTTTCCATTCGCTCTTCTCTATCTCTCATAGGGTTGTTTGCTCCCTCTCAAGTTGTTCGAATCTAGGCCTGTGTTCTGCTTGCAATGGATAGTCGGAAGAGAGTCGGGCCTGAAGCTGCCTTAAACGCAAATAGCGGTGCCAAGAAATTGAAGCAAGGTTCGTTCCTCTGTAATTTTGTTTGTATAGTATACATATGTATCTGTTCATGTACGTATTTTTTGGTGCGATGTTGCCTTTTTCTCCGTTCGATTTTCTGTTAACAGTTAATAAGATGGTGTATGTATCTTGAGACGACTGTTCGTGTTGATTCTAGCTCCTGTTGTTTTCATGGTTTTTTTTTTTAGGGGGTTTGTACCTGGAATACATTTTATTTTGAAAAAGGTAAATTGGTTATTGTATGAACTGGCCTAAGTTGTGATAACTTGTGAAGGGCATTGGAAAGCAAAAACTACGAATAACCAATTTTGAGAAGGAAGTACTGTATCTATGACCCATATAACATGCTTCTGTTTTCGCTAATTCTTATTTATTGCTTAAAATTATATCATGCAAAATTTTCACTGATTTTTGTCAATGACACAGATTTTACGCCATCATCATTATTTTATTAAAGCTTTTCTTTCTATCACACGATGGTTGAAGTTTCTAGACATGTTTATAAGCCTAACCAAGGTCAAAATAGGTCAAATCAAGGAGTGCATACAAAACTTTAACATTAGAGGAGGGACACTTTGTGGAAAGCAGAAAAGCCCGAGTGTGACCGAGATGGTTTTGGAAACAGTGTATCTAATTACACATTTGGTGTTCTGAAATTGAGAACTTTTTCATTTTTAGCAACTCATTGTTACCAAACAAAGAGGGGCAGCTGTAGACACTCCAATTTTTGGAGATGATTTGAGCCCTCTTCCGAGCTCCTGAAGTTTCTATTTCTGCCCAGATTTCTCCCCAGACCAGCAGTCAATCAAATGGCCACCCATTCGCTATAAGAAAACACATAAAGAACATTTGTAATAAAAATCCCATGGATCAAGTAATTCGTACTTGTGATGACTATTATATATCACCTTAAAAACCATGGTACAAGTATGCCAGTGAAATTCGGAAGAGAACTCAAGAGAAGAGTAGTTTTATCCTCTTCAATTTTTAATCAAGGGGTGAACAGAATGCGTTATATTAATATATTCAATTAATGAGATGTACAAATTGTTCACCATCCAAAATCTGTTGTGAAAAAGAATCTAAATTAATCAGCCTATAGATCGATCACAGCTGAATAAAATATCGATCGTTGTACATCATTTAGGGTTCAATTGAAGTCTCCCCACCTGATGAAAATGCTACATATCCCGGCTCTTGGATCGTGTGGGAATCAGGTCATTGAACATTTAACAAATACGACTACCACCTGACACCTAGTTAGGAAAAGAAACCGTAAAATACGTCTCGTATATTTATATATAATAATAATGACTTTGCCTATAAATCATTATTCTTAGCATTATTCATGTTGCTTGAACATTTCGCTGGCATTGTCATCTGAGACAATAACAGCAGGCATCGGACTGTGGTACAAGAGTTTGTAAAATTGAAACCCAATAAATCTTTTCTAGGTCGTGTGATTCTTTGAGAAGCTCATCATTCTAAATTTTTGCCTTCATTGGTAAAAAGTAATTATTATGCGTGTAGTATATTCTTAAAGTATCTAGATCGGAGGTTTAGAACATTCTAACTAGAAAGAAGCAATTAATGTTTTGTTTTGTAACAGCAATGGAGTCTTCATCAACTGGTATGGGAAGCAAAATGAAGCCGTTTACAAAATTTGTCAGGTTCAAATCTTCACCTATCTATTTTTGTAATTTTGAATTGCATCTTGTCACTCAGTTATGTTTAGGGTTTATTTGTTTTAATTTTTTTCAGTTGGGATGAAACAATCCTATGCAATGTCGGTGCCGCTGCACCAATGCAAGTTAATGAGATGGTTTTGGAGTTTTTTATGCATAGTATCACAATATCTTTTCAGTCTATAAGTTCAATCTAGTGTATTGGTGGTTCATGTTTTATTTTGCAGCATTGCTGATTTCGAGATGAGAAATCTGGGACCAAATCAAGCTGCAATGTATGTGGCATCCCCACCAACCATCCCGGATGGCTCTGACCAACCTGCTCTTAAAACCCGTCTGTGCAGCGATTATTATACTACTAGAGGCTGCGAACTTGGAGACTTCTGCCATTTTGCCCATGGCATTTGTGAATTTGGAAAGCCTTTTTCTCTAACCTTTGATGAGGATTTCCGTGACCTGGATTCAGGCCGTTTTGATGGTTGGCGGAGGCTACCTTACTCACGTCCTCCCTTGAGCATTAAGGAAGACCCACTTGCTGCTAAATTTAGTGTAGATGCTTCCCTTGCTGGAGCCATCATTGATGATTTGAAAAATATGCTGTGTCGTTTAGATGTTAAACTATTCATCGGAGAGCACGAGTCAAAACCTAATCTCAAGAACATTGAGCTTCAGGGCCAGTTTCATTCGCTCAAGATAGCGAGCTCTTTGGTAATAGAGCAGGTTGAACGTATTCGTGGTACAAAATGAAACTGTGAGGGGTAAGCTATTTATGGTATTGAATTACTACTATTTTCAGATTTCTTTGTTTTATTTCTCAAACCTTGATATCTCAGGTTGTAGTATCCTTTTTTACTTTTTTCCCGCTATTGTCAATGTGTTTTTTTGTGCTTCTGTGTGTTCTGCCTGTAAATAGATCCTGATTGTTGTAGATTAATATGATACATGAATCATGATGCAGACTTATTGAAATTTAAAGCCACGTGCTATTCCTTGCTTCGGTATATGGGCAGGCATGTTTGTCCTTCGTAATAGATGTAACTTAGAAGATAGGGTTACCATCAGACTTAAATCTAACAATGCTCAAATCATCTTGTTGGGGATCCCAGGGAGAGAAGAAATGCTTTGTTATTTGGCATTTTCGCGAGTTTGATGAATTGGGTTTAGCTAACTATTGACAATATATATAATTTTTAATTACTGAAAAATAGAAATATGGACAAATTTAGTGTTAGATGCTTCCCTTGCTTTAGCCATTATTGGGTTTGATGATTTGAAAAATATGCGGTGTCGTTTAAAGTTAAACTATTCATCCAAGAGCACGAGTCAAGTCCTAATCTCAAGAAGTTAGCAAGTTCTATGGTAATAGAGCTGATCGGACGTATTCATGAAGCTCCCACCTACAAAATGAAACTATGATGGGAAGGTCTTTATGTTATTTGAATTACTACTATTTTCAGGTTTCTTGAGTTTTATTTTATTTTAAATCATTAGTGTTTCTTTTTCTTCATGCTGCTACTTTTTGTTTCAGGAACGGTTAATTGCCCATAAAACCCTCCTAAATAATAATAATAAAACTTCCTGCTTACTATTGCCAACAATAAAATAGGTAAACTGTATCTAGGTGGCCATTAAATACCCTTAGAATAACAACAAAATTTAGTTCTCAGGAAGTCCATTTATTTCCTTAATGTTTACTTGTGGGAGAGGAGGTGTCTTGTAGAATTTTTGGTATTTCAGGATTATTATTTGCTAAAAATTTAGTACAGGGGGTGAAATTTAGTGCAAGGCTTAATATGTACAGATTTTTTGAACCAGGAAGGTGTTATACAATAAACCCTTTTGGCAATGAATCATGGTGTAAAAGTGGTAAATGTTAGGGAGTTGAGCAATCTTCTCTTTTTCTTCTGGGATGGATCTATTGTCGCATTTTGTTTTATGATGCTTCTGCTTGATCAGGATGAAAATGGTGGGAGGTGAGAGATAGCAAACGCATCATTGTGCTCGGATGGAGCTTTTGTTACATTTGAAGTGTGATGTTTGTCAAAGGTGCCTTTCAGCCTTGATTGAGCTTGTATCTATAGGCTTGAATATGTTGAACTTTGTTCCAAATGATGGTTGATCAAGTCACTTGTTTGGCTGTTGAACCTCTTTTGTTGACCTGAGAACGCAACTCAAAGCTGAACAACTGTTATATAAGTATACAACCAATCCTTGGAAAAGGTAGATCAAGGGATGGCAATTTATCCTCCCCGCACCGTTTAAACCGGTTTTTTTTTTTTTTTTTTTGGGGGGGGGGGGGGGGGGGGGGGGGGGGGGGTTGAGGGGCGGGGGAAGGTTGTTCGGGAAATTAACTCCCTTCTACCCACTTAATGATCGACTGTTGTTGAAGGTTAAATCCATCATTCATCACATACAACGAAAGTATCATCACAACAAATCAATACAAAGCATATATGGAGATAAGAATTATACACATCCACGCACAACAAAATATTTCACATGGTTCACTTTACTCTTGGACTACGTCAATGGAGAGAGAGATTTCATTATTATGAATCAAGAAAGAGAATATGAAACCATCCATGCACAAGAAGATTAGTGTAGATGCTTCCTTTGCTGGAGCCATCATTGATGATTTGAAAAATATGTTGTGTCATTTAGATGTTAAACTATTCGTCAGAGAGCACGAGTCAAAACCTAATCTCAAGAACATTGAGCTTCAGGGCAAGTTTCATTCGCTCAAGATAGCGAGCTCTATGGTAATAGAGCAGATTGAACGTATTCGTGGAGCTCTCACCTACAAACTGAAACTGTGAGGGGTAAGCTATTTATGGTATTGAATTACTACTATTTTCAGGTTTCTTTGTTTTATTTCTCAAACCTTGATATCTCAGGTTGTAGTATCCTTTTTTTTTTCTTTTTTCCCTCTATTATCAATGTGTTTTGTGCTTCTGTGTGTTCTGCCTGTAAATGGATGCTGATTGTTGTAGATTAATATGATCCATGAATCATGTTGCAGACTTATTGAAATTTAAAGCCACATGCTGATTGTTGTAGATTAATATGATCCATGAATCATGTTGCAGACTTACTGAAATTTAAAGCCACATGCTATTCCTTGCTTCGGTATATGGGCACTTGGGCAGGCATGTTTGTCATTTGTAATAGATATAACTTAGAAGATAGAGGGCAGGCATGTTTATCAGACTCTAACAATGCTCAAATCATCTTGTTGGGGATCCCTGGGAGAGAAGAAATGCTTTGTTCTTTGGCATTTTCGCGAGTTTGATGAATTGGGTTTAGCTAACTATAGGCAATATATATAATTTTTAATTACCGAAAATAGAAATGTGGGCAAAATTAGTGTAGATGCTTCCCTTGCTGTAGCCATTATTGGGTATGATGATTTGAAAAATATGCCGTGTCGTTTAAAGTTAAACTATTCATCTGAGAGCACGAGTCGAAGTCCTAATCTCAAGAATATTGAGCTTCAGGGCAAGTTTCAACAGCTCAAGTTAGCAAGCTCTATGGTAATAGAGCAGATCGGATGTATTCATGGAGCTCCCACCTACAAAATGAAAATATGATGGGGAAGGTTTTTATGTTATTTGAATTACTACCATTTTCAGGTTTCTTGAGTTTTATTCTTATTTTAATTCATTAGTGTTTCTTTTTCTTCATTCTGCCACTTTTTGTTTCAGGAATGGTTAATTGCCCAAAAAAACTCTCCCAAATAATAATAATAATAAAAAAAAAAACTTCCTGCTTATTATTGCCAACAATAAAATAGGTAAACTGCAGCTAGTTGGCCATTAAATACCCTTACAATAACAAAAAAATATAGTTCTCAGGAAGTCCATTTATTTCTTAAAATTTACTTGAGGGAGAGGAGGTGTCTTGTAGAGTTTTTGTATTTCAGGATTATTATTTGCTAAAAATCTAGTACAGTGAGTGAAATTTAGTGCAAGGCTTGATATGTAAAGTTTTTATGAACCAGGAAGGTTTTATACAATAAACCCTTTTGCCAATGAATCATGGCCTACAAGTGGTGAATGTTAGGGAGTTGAGCAATCTTCGACGGAGCTATTGTCGTGTTTTGTCTTATGATGCTTCTGCTTGATCAGGATGAGAATGCTGGGAGGTGAGAGATAGCAAACACATGTTACTTGTCACTCCCGCAAATAGTGTTCGATGCTCAGGCACGGTTGACCGAGTTTCTTGAACAATCATATAATTTTGTTTCATTTGAACTGTGAGGTTAGTCCAAGGTGCTTCTCAGCCTTGATTCAGCATGTGTTTATAGGCTTGAATATGTTGAACTTTGTTCCAAATGATGGTTGATCAAGTCACTTGTTTGGCTGTTGAAGCTCATTTGCTGACCTGAGAACGCAACTCAAAGCTGAACAACAGCTGCTTATATAAGTATACAACCAATCTTTGGAAACGGTAAATCTAGGGATGACAATTTACCCCGACCCGTTTAAACCAATTTTGGAGTCCGTCTTTGAGATTTGGCGGGGATGGGTTTGAGGGGAAAAAACCCACGCAGATTCGAGACGGGGACGGGAAAGGTCTCCCACTCCATTTAGGTTTCTATTTAACTAAATTACCCTCGTTTGTGTATATATATATATTGCCCTAAATCACTCTTCACTCTCTATACCTTCATTTCTATTCGGCCGTTCTAGATCTAGAGAGAGTCTAGATCTAGAGAGAGTCGAGAGACCTAAGAACCTTCACCTTAGACCTCATGGGGACAGGTTTATTTATTTATTTATTTTTTCACCCTCCCATTAAGCTTTGCACTTTTTTTTTTTCTTTCCTTCATGGGTAATTGAGTTTTGAACTTGTTCATTTCTCTATTGTTCAATATGATAGATCTATTATGCGAGCTATGGCCGTTTGAATTTAACATACTTTGCAATAATCATTATATTTCATTTTCAGTTTGTGTTTATTATCCTTTGTCTTCAAGATATAATGATTAATGTTTACTGATTGCACATGAAACATTTAAACAACTAAATAAGTGAAAGTTATGGCAGCAATACTGAAATTGGAAATCTTTCATGGACTTCACTTTTTGTTTCTTGTGGTTTGTTCTGAAGTGTGTTGTTTAGCATGATCTGAGCATACCAGTTCTGTGGAGTATAAAGAATAAAGCCAATAAATGTGCTCAAGGAAACAAAACATTAATCAATCCTAGGATTTTTCTTTTTTTGGCCACCGAATTCAACCCGGACTTGTTCTTCTATGTGCAACCACATCAATGCAATCAGAGAATGTTTTGCGCAGATTTATTTTACATGGTTGTCTTTTCCTTTGCTTGCCCTTCACAATGCTTGATTCCATCCAGATTGATTCTGAAACTAAATCTCGATGAGTTTCTGAAGGTACTGATGCCTTAATAACAATAATTGTAGCTGAACTTTTGTCCAAATGCTATGATGTTCTATAAGAACTGCATAAAACTTAAAAAAAAGTACTGCATTGGTCGACTTGTCAATTGATCATGTATTGGTTTCAAAAGTAATGACTGCGAAAGACATATATCTTGGAATTTGTTGAATTAACAGTTGGTTGGGAATTATTGGAGCATATGGTTGTTTAATGATTGCAAGTGATTAAATTGTGTTTGTTTGATGTTCTTTTATTTGATCTAACTCTTGTATCATTTTATTTTCCAGCTCTACAACTCATGGAAAGCCTTTGAAGAGACTTGGAGTGTAGACATTATGGAATTTTATGTTGAGTTATCATTTTCTATTCAGACTTATGCACTTGTTGGAAGAATATAAGTTGGATAATTTGTGGTTTGGAAGAATTTACTTTGAATATTTTAAATTTTGTGTTGAACTATTTATCTCCCTTTTCTGTGTGGATTTTCTCAATATTAAAACTTGGGTGTGAAATGTGGTGGCCATGGGCTAGGCCTACACCATCAAATAGCAAAATTGTTCACCTCAGCCTGTTTAGTCTGGGGCATTCTCCAATGTATTTTCTTCCCTTGTCTCGCTCTCTATTTAATAAAATAATATTCCCTCGTTCCAAATTAAACATCCGTTTTTTGGGAATTCAACTTTTTAAGATGTATTTTAATATTTTCTTAATGTATTAGTAGTAAATGAATTACCAAATATGTCCAAAGGGAGTCTATAGAAATGTGATGGTTTATTTTTTTAAAAGTTTAATGCAGAAAGGTTAAATCGGTAATGTTACGAAAAATAGTACTTTGACTTTTCAAATGAGATATTTATTTGGGGCTTAAAAAATGAAAAAAAAAAAGGTGAATATTTAATTTGAAACGGAATATAGTCAAAATTTTAACTAATAATAAAGATTAGAGGTTGAAAATGAAACATTTGTAAAACTCCTAATCTTAATAGTTTTATAAAATTACTCCACAAAAAAAAAAAAAAAGGAAAGAAAAAGAAATTCACATATAAAAGGAAAAGATAAATATGGATATGATATAATTACTGTATACACACATCAATGTCAGGCTGAGCTACGAATCCTATGGGCCGGGCCATGTTAATTGATGGGCTGGACGGGGTGAATCGACCCAACAACAGACAGTTCCTAAATAAATGTATATTGGTTCAATGTCAAGAGCACCCATGGAAGTGGTCACGATGATGTAATTTATGACTATTTAAAAGATATGAATTGGATTTTTCTTGCAGATTTTTTGTTTGAGGAAGAAATTTATGAGATGAATGAATGACCCTACTAAAGAAAACTAAGTTGGAAGCAAACAGAGGTCATTAATGGCAGACACAATTCCATAATTAAAAGTCCCCATTTTCATGATAGATATAGTAGAATGTGGAGGGTGCTATTAAAATGACTGATGGGTATTAGATTCCTGGGATTTTTCCACTACCCATCACAAAAACACTTCTTCCTCCAATAGATGATGAATTTGATCCCCTATAAGCAGACATAACTGTGACACCACACCTACAATGCAATATATAGCTAATGCAGGGCAGGAGCTGAATTTGAACTTTTCGGGTTATAATGTTAATATCAGTTCACTTCACAAATACAGAATAATAAATAGAAGACTAATATATATATAATATTATAATATATTTATATATATCTAACGGATTGGATCGAATTTTTTACAATTCAATCCGTGAACTACAGGTTATGGATTCAATTTTTTTTGAATCCACTATCGATTTGTGAATATAAGAATTTGATCCGATTCACACGAATCAAATTGGATCAAATTAAACTCACAGATTGACAGATCAAATGAACACTCCTAATAGTTCGTGTCAAACTCATTAGGCTCAAATTTAGGTCGCTTAATTTCGTTACTATGGCTCTCAAATTAAACTGTGATGACTGATGAGGTAGGCCCCAAAATGTGTTCCCCATGAAGTAATGAACTTCAATATGCGACTTATCTAATAGAAAAGCTAATGGGGACAGTCGTAACTTTCCCAAGCAAAATACTTTCCAAGGATTCTTCCATTTGATTTGTTGTCGGTGTGTTCTTAAATTCGATGTAACCTCTTTGAATTTTTGTGTTCAAGAATAAGAAAAAATTATTAGATAGTTACAAATCGCAAGTTATTTGTTTGTTCAATTCAATAAAAATTTATATTTATATATATATTTTTTATAAAATTTTATTAAATTGTGAGGAATCTATATTTCTTAATCGAAGAGTTTTGATTGAACTGACTACAACCCACGAATAATTTCTCGAGACCAAGGCCGTGTTTGCAAGTGCCATTGAAATTGGGATGTCACTATATTATGCTTTCCATGGGTTGACAAAGGGGTCCATTTAGGTTCTCTAATCGTTTGGTCCATCGGTTTTTTCATCATTTGATGGTCTTTGCCTCTCTGATTTTTAATGTCTGACCAAACTTGATGTAACCTCTCTATAATGGTGCACCAATGGCCCCATTTGCAAGTGTTCTCGAAATTGAATTGTTCTCTTAATGCAAATTTGTGTTTGTTTTGCTTTGCATAAGATTTGAAATGTGTCTATTTTAGATTCCATTAGTAGGCTTTTTTTTACATTTGATGGTACCTGTCTGTCTAGCTGTTAATGTGCTATACTGACGACTCTATATGACACGATTCTGGTTTAATAAGAAGGTTGTGCTAGAATCAATGGATATCATTTTAGATAGTTTAAGTTTTCCATTTTTAAATAGAGAGGTTAAATATTTGAGTCTAGATGAGGGTATGATATACCGTGAATGTGTGTGTTTTTTTTTAAAGATAATTGAATCACTATATGGTGCATTATTATAGGATTTGAAATTGGTTATGATGAGTTTTTGCCTTATAAGGAGAATGACTGTAAAAAGTTACTTGTTCTTGTGGTATCATAGTTCATTTTAAATCTAATGACTAAAAAAGGTTTAGTGGTAAAATGGGTTGGTGGGAGAAGATCTGCATAAATTACAACGCAGAAGAGGGAGAGACCTGACGTCCTCGTGAACTTATGTATTCATGTGGGCTGTGTTTTTGGCTTTCCCTTTTCTAGGGTTTCTAATAATTTAAGTTTTGATATGATTAATAATTTGGGTTGGGCGTACGGCTTAGTGTTTTAGCTTTCTCTGTACTATCTGTTTTACCATTCAAAATAGAAGATCGAGAGTTTAAATCGTACTAGAGACCCCAAAAAAAAAAAAAAAAATTTAAACAACACATAATGAATTATTTGATCATACATGAATATTTATTTATTTTAATCAAATGATTATATACATAATTTATTGAATGGTCATCTCTGCACATACAATTGATATAGGGATACATTTCACTATTCACTATGACTAAGAAATAGGGTTACAATCAAGGATGTGTATGGTATTATTGGTCTTATGGTCCAGTGGTCCAATTGTTACTCCCAGAATTTCGCAATCATACATTGCCAGCACTATCAATGCAGATGACTCTCATTCTCACAATTTAAATCATACATGGCTCACCAATCCTTCAAAATTGAAGGATTGAGTGGGCCGCTTTCCGTTTCAATAAACAAAAAAGAAAGGAAATGAGTATTTAAAATCCCAAACGCTTTTAAGCAGTTGAAAAACAATCTCAAACGAATTCTTAGTGAGAGGATGAGAAATACTCACACCCAAAAAATAAAATAAATAATAATAATATCAAAATTCATATTCTTTTTAAGTGATGAAATTATTTGTTAAAAAAAATCTGATTTGTTGTATTTTCCGCTTCCATTCTCTTTACTTCACTGGAAGTCCACATCAAGCTTAAAACATTCCATGGTCTGTAAATTGTAGCCTTCGTTTGGATATTTAGGAAAAAAAAAAGAAAAGAATGGATAGTATTAGTTATGAGAGAAAAGAACGATAACAATTATCTCTGTTTGGATATATAAAAGAGAAAATAAAAGAAATGATAACAACTAAATTACTATTGTATTCTTTTAAATAGAAGGGATATGAGTGGTATAATAATTTTTTCTTTTTAATTGTTAAGGACACTTTTGAAATTATGAAAATACTACTTAAATACTATCATTTATCTCTTCTCATCCCTACATACATTTCTATATCTTTTCTTTTTTCTCATTTTAAACCACCGAAAACACACTTAAACTCTATTTTTTTTTTCTTTCCCTATTCCTCCGAATCATCTCATCCAAGCGCACTCCTAATGTTTGACCATTCCCTGTGAAAATGATACTTGTAACAGGTTTAGGGCATCTTTTGGGCCTTTTGGCAAGTAAAAATATCACAAGTAACCTTTTGTTTGTTCTTTTTTTCGTCCCGTGAGTGACTATTTACATAACTGGAAAATTTCATATACATCAAACAATTATAAAAAAATTTGTTTCACATGAATCGGGATTTGAACTTCCACCCTCTCACGTAAGTAACAAACAATGTGAAATGGGATATTCTAAAGGGTATAAAGCTCCTCAACCTCCATATCCGTCAGGTTGATGTATATCAACACTTAGAACCCCAAACAGATTATATTCTTCTATATAGAAGTGACATTAAGAAAACACTAGGGGATAAGCTATATAATAAAAGTGGAAAAGCCTACAATTCATGCCTTTATTATAATAAAAACATGATAAAAATCGAAGGGAAACTTTAGAAGATATGGAAAAGCCAAACAAATCCGATCTCTTTGAAATGCCATTTAAACATTTGAACCCCCAAAATTCTTCTTCTTTTGTGGGTACTCGTGATTCCTTCCAATCATCATTGAATGGACCCTATGATTATTGTTGAGTGTGGGAAACTAATACCCACCTCCCCATTGGAATCTCATGCTAATTAAAGTTACCCTACCTTATCACACTTCCCAACTTTTTTATTTTTCAAAAATATTTAAATAAAATAAAGTTACTACAAGATTTAAAATTGATTAAAACTACTTTAATCATTCATTTATTTATTTTTTTGGGAACCCCACAATTAGTTTTGAAAAGATTTGAAACATCGGCATTTTTAGGTTTAAATGAGCATGATACCATTAGACTACATGCTTAATTAGTTCGATGACTTTAGTCCGTAAAATTTTCAAAATGATTAAAAGGTTCGACAATACATAAGCAATGCTAGACGTATGCGTTGTCGTCTAACATATTTTGGACAACACGAAATAGAATGTAAATTAGAAAAGCTTCTTGTGACCGAAAAATTACTTGAGAATATTCACTCACAAATAAATTATATTCCGTAGCAAGTACAATAACATGGTATTGATTCTACCTAAATGCAATACTAAAATAAATGGTTCGAAATAGATGTAATCGTTGATATTATTTTATACAAAGTGAAAATACTTTATAAATGAATATTACTAAACTTGTCCAAGAGTTTTAACTATTTAATCATAACTAATTCAGTCAAATGAAGTAAATTGGAACTTTACAGCAAAGACAGTGGATAAATATGAACAATAAATTGGAACTTCATGGAAGTATGGGCCCTAAGAAATTCACTAATCACTGTATAGAACTCTAGTCTTTAATCATTAGGTCACCCACTAAACCCTAAGTTATGAACTTGTTTAGTGTCACCACTTCTTTATATATATATATATATTGATTGCAAAGAAGGAGATGATGAAATGGGATGGGACTCTCCTAATTAAAGTGAAAAATGTGAAGCCACACATTTAACCATGTAGTAGTCAAAAGTCAAAGAAACAAAGGGAGACAGAGAGCATATAGTCTTGCAAAAAAAGAGTTCAAAAAGAGTAGAATTGAGTGATGACAAGGTCCCTCAACCCACTAATTGATATTATTAAGCGAATCATAGGATAATCAATGGCAAGTAGAAATTTTAATACAACCCTCATCATAAAAGTAGATGTAGTCAAATTATTTTTTACTGTATTGTACTTTACCTTGTTCTTGAAATTTAGTCATTCTTCTCAATTTTATAGCCACGCGGTTTCTTTTTCTAAGAAAAGTTATTTTGTTTGTTTGTGAAATTTTATCAAATTTAAAATTTTACATGTTTAAAAGAGAATTTTTTTTAGGGGAGTAAATGAGTAAGCTGAATTTTGACTTTGCCTGGAACATTATACCTAATGCTATGACCTGAATCATAGTTATTTGGGCTTACCCTATTTATTAAAATAACTCAGACTCGCAACTAAACTGTTCATGAATAATTTGAGTTATTTAGATTTTTACTTTTTTTTTTTTTGGTTCACATTTTGTTATTGATTTCATAATTTGTTACAAGTGATACTCTTGGCGAGAGAGACGTTGTGGATGTACCCATACATATGAGAAAAGGAGGAATTTATTTCAATTTTCTATATAATTAATGTTCAAAACTCTAATTTAGATTGTGTAAAAATATTGTGAAAAAAAATCGATTGTGTAAAAACATTGTACTGTAACTAAGATGGTGATTCAGTATTTTTTTTATTTTTTGAATGGATTGGTAGTTAAAAATTAATATATTAAATATGAAAAATAAGTATTTAATTTAGCAATTTGGCTGACCAATCAAAGCCAGCCCCTGTCTTTGGAATAAACGACGTCGTTCCCGCCGTATGAAGCCAATTCAACAGTGCCCGGATAAATTGACACGGAATACAAAGACTGGGTGAAAGAGGAATTAATGGGAAATTGAATTTCCCTCTGAGACGGAATTGTTTTTCTATGGTTAATTTTGGATCTGATCAGTAACCTCAACAGACCATATTAAAGGGTCTTTATAAAAAGTTCAGAAAATTGAACTCCTCCAAAGTACTCCTCTCTGTCAAAGATCTCTCGGCAAGTGTACCAGAAAACACAGAGAGACAAGGCAACGGAAAGAGGAAAAGGAATCAAGACGGAAATAGATTTCCTTGTTGTATCGTTTTCACTGCTGGATATTCTCTTGAGTGTTTCCTTCAGGACTAGAGAGAGAAAGTGTGTGCTCTTTTCAATTCCCTCTGCAAAACCACCTCCCAATACTTTTCTCTCTCCTCTTTGTTTACACTACTGATCAGTAGGTGCTTCTTTTTCCTTTCCTCAGTTTTCTCGATCCTTGAACACAGACAATTTTTAGAGAGAGAAAGTTTTAGAGAGAGAGAGGGAGGCTTTTTGGCATGCAAGAGAAGCAAGCTTCTCGTTGGGTAGTTTTATTGGCAAAATCTCTGTAACGCCTCTGTTTCCTAAAAGGTCTCTTGGTCTTGGTTTTGTCAAAACACCCATTTTTTTCCTGAGGATAAAGCCGCATTTGTTGAGGAACTTTGAGCGTGTTTTAGAGAGAGAAAAAAACATAGTACAGAGATTATTTTTAAATCCATAGTTAATTTAGATTATGCAAATTTTGGAAAACAGCTCTGCAAAATTTGTCACTCCACACTGGAAGGTGTGACCAGTGACACTTTCTTAATAAGGGGTGCATATCATAAATTGTTTCTCTCTATAACAGTGGTGGAAAAGCAAGTGATTGCGGACTGACACACATTTGTCAATCGGTACAGTTTCAGTTTCTGCATTACAATAAGCCGACCCCAAGACAAAGACCCTCTTAAAACCAGGTACAGAAAAGCATGAGCTTTGATTAGTTTGTTTTTAAGTGTGTTGGTACGTATTTATGTATTAGCTTCTATTTTTATGTATTGGGTTTGTTTTCAGTTTGTTGTATAGGATTGTATTGTTTGTTTTCAGATCTCTAGAGAAGTGAAAGAAGATAGAAATGGTTCCTCAGAAACAAACTGATGAGGCCATAGTTGCAATGGGCTTAAACGAGACTGAACAAATTGAAAGAGATGAAGAGATTGTAGATCAGTCCATGTTTAGCTTCAAAAATGCTCTTTGGCATGGTGGGTCTGTTTATGATGCTTGGTTCAGCTGTGCATCAAATCAGGTAATCCCCAAAACTATATATATATGTGTGTGTGTGTGTGTGTGTGTGTGTGTGTGTGTGTGTATGTTGTTATTTGGTTGAGTTTCGATTGAATTTTTTTGGGGTTTGAAATACAGGTTGCACAGGTTCTGTTAACATTACCATACTCTTTCTCTCAACTGGGTATGCTTTCAGGCATCTTGCTACAGGTGTTTTATGGTCTACTTGGAAGCTGGACTGCTTATCTCATCAGTGTTCTCTATGTTGAGTACCGAACCAGAAAGGAGAAAGAGAATGTCAGCTTCAAGAACCATGTCATACAGGTTAGTTAGCCCAATAAATTTATCACATCCCAGAGAACCCAAAACCCACTTTTTAAATTTTAATTAAATTGTATATATAGGATCATATATATAGATATATGATCCACGCATCCTTGTCTTTACACCTCTTTCCCTTCCATTTGGAAATCGTGAGCTTCAGGTACAAATCACAATGAAACAACCTTACAATTGCACGATTACCCCGAGTGTATATATATATATTGTATTTATCTGCTAAGCATGGTTGTAGTGGTTTGAAGTACTGGATGGCTTGCTTGGTCCTTCATGGAAGGCTTTGGGATTGGCCTTCAACTGCACTTTCCTCCTCTTTGGGTCTGTTATACAGCTCATAGCTTGTGCAAGGTTAGGTTTTCTATTTTCTTCATAATTTTCTTTTAATTATTCAAATTAATGGCAAATAAGAATTGGGTTTTGTTTTATTGGGTGATTACAGTAACATATACTACATAAATGATAACTTAGACAAGAGGACATGGACCTACATATTTGGGGCTTGTTGTGCTACAACTGTGTTCATACCATCATTTCACAACTACAGGATTTGGTCATTCCTTGGGCTCGGAATGACCACCTATACTGCTTGGTATTTGACCATTGCTGCCTTTGTTCACGGACAGGTAGTTTTGATCAACGGTCCTGATCTTTCCGATCTTGAGTAAAATCTTTTCTGGACAGTCAAATGTTTAGTCTATTTTTTACTGTTTTACAGGCTGATGGAGTGACCCATTCTGGGCCCAAAAAGCTGGTGCTGTATTTCACTGGGGCCACTAACATACTCTATACTTTCGGCGGACACGCCGTCACTGTGTAAGTGATTCTTTCAATGTTTATGAGGAAATCTTCAAGGAAGTTGCTTCTACACACACTCCACAAATTCACAATATTAAATTCTCTATATAATGTTATATATATATATATATATATGTCAATATATGTGGTACTGTGGAGCTGTTTGCAGTTTTTGGTTTGAGAAATGGTAAATACAAAATCACGAGACTTGATTTTTTCTCCGGTCAGTTTTGCCCTCAACTTCTCCACGTTTGGTTATACCCCATTAGTTGACCCCCTGTTGGTGCATACGTTCCCTATTGCGAAATAGGTCTTGTGAGTTACAAGAAATGTACAGTTAGCAAAAATTTGTGTGAAAGTAGGGCTTTGTTTTTTCAATTTAAATTAATATTGACAAATTTTATTAAGGGTAAATTACCGACATCTCAAGGTTAGGTTATATTTGAGTTAGATAGAAATTTTGGTCATAACTTTCATTTATACTCCAACTTATTTTTATACTTCCGATACAAATAAATTAACCATTTTACCCTCAATTATTGAATACAAAATATTTGTAATCTTAAATAACAAAAAAACCCCTATATAAATATTTATCCTGTCCCCGGAACTACAGCAACCGCTGCACCTCCCCGCTTCGGCCCGGCCCTTCATCGCTGCCGATGCCGCTCTTGTCTGTACTGTCTGCACTATCGTCTTCATCATCAGCTATTCTGCCGACTTGGGCCTCCTCCTCGGCGACCCTATAGCAAAAAAGACCCCCAAGCCCAGCGCCATCGTCATCTTCATCAGTGGCTTTTGGGTCCTCGACATGGCCAACAACATGGTCCAAGGACCCATGCCTTGCTCGACGACCATACAAACACACGATACAACCAAAGATGGCATCGAACTACCGTCCATCATCGCCATCGCTGACCCATTAACCAAGTATTCCCATTCGAGCTCACTGTCATTCTGCACAGTCGTCCACGTTAAGCTTCTCAATCCGTCGCCTTCAAAACCATGTCATCATCTTCACCATCACCGGCCCATTATCACCACAGACCCACTTCGCTTCGAACTGCCGTCCATCATCAGTAGACCCATTTCGCCGCTGTGCATTCCATGCTCACTGGTGAAGACATTTCCGCAGCCCGCTAGTAAGTTTTTCCGGCTACAAGATGGTCTTAACGATGGAGAGAGTTTGGACGGAGTGTTTCCATTGCCATTCCGTACCGTCGTCCACGTTGAGTTGCTTAATCTGTCGCCGTCCACGTTGAGCTACTCAATCCGTCGCCGTCAAAACCATGCCATCATCTTCACCATCGCTGGCCCATCAACCACTAGCCATCTCCGTCGCTTCGAACTGCCATCCATCATCACCATAGACCCATTTCGCCGGCGTGCACTCCATGTTCACCTTTGAAGACAGTTCTGCCGGTAAGTTTGCCGGACACGTTAATCGTCCACTCATGGTCTTAGCCTCCTGTTCTCATCATTCCATGCCGCCTTGCAATCACGTCATCCATCATCACTGACGCCGGAACAAACCCACCCCAATTCAGCGATTGCCAACAGCCACCCATCACCGCTCGCCTCTGTGGAACAGACCCACCTCTTTTTGGTTCATTCCTTGGCTGTTGTTCCTTAAATTTCAGCATCACCAATGCCGACATTTCAAGCTTCCCGCCGAGCAGTTCATTCCACCATTAAACTTTGCCCATAGGATTCAGTTTGTGTATTGGGGACATTTTGGTCATTTCAAACGGGTCTATTGGGGGTAGTTAAGTCATTTTATATATGAAATAAAATCAGTACAAAATCAAAAGGGTTTTATAGTAATTTTACACCTAAAAATAACTCTGACATCACTCTAAATTGACATTTGGAGTGTACGTGAAACACCAAATCACTCTTTCAAATATAAGTGAAAATTAAAACTAAAATCTTCATGTAGGTGTAAAATGACCTAATCTCAGAAGGTCCAAGTATAATTTATCCTTTTATTAATGATATATTTATTTCATTCCAACTCTAAGTTGTCAATTCGGTATTCTCAAACATAACATAAGAGTAATGCTACAAGTTTCATTTGATTTTCGCAAGACCCTAACAGATAGAGTACAACATGGACTATTTGTCATAGATAACAGAGAGACAAGTTTATCTTTTTCATTTTACTAACTTTTGATCACACTTTAAACAATTATTTAGAAAGTTCACACTCCATTCAATAAGGGTTAAAAGTTTTGGCCGAACAAAGTGAATGTGTGATTTTCAAGTTGAAATATATATATATATATATATAGAAAGAGAGTAAATTTTTTCCTAGTTATACAAAAAGAGTATTAACTGTGGAGTTTTCCATTCTCACAAGGCCTATATAGAAAGAGAGTAAATTTTTTCCTAGTTATACAAAAAGAGTATTAACTGTGGAGTTTTCGATTCTCACAATTGGCCAATTGTGATCAACCTGATGGTAAATTGGTCTTTTTGCCAATTGTGATGGACCTGGTCTTTTTGTTTAGTTTGTGAATGAGTGTAGGACACATACCCTATCTGCCAGCTTGTCCGCGTCCCTTTCATACCCAAAATGACTAAATGGACATTTCTTTGCCTCAATTTATGAAGGTATACGAATTGTCATCAACAAAAGCTGGAATATACTGTATTTATTTATTCTCCGGCTGTGGACTTATGGTTGCTCGGAGAATAAATGCATTCTTAAATACATTGCTTTTTTCAATTTTGTATTGTTAATAGTTCTTCTAAGAAACACCTAAAAAGGTTTTACATTGAAGGAGTCAAAGGTAATGAATGCAAAAGATAAAAGGAAAAGGTATCTCCAAATAATTTAAAATCGGAGGAAGAAGCATACTTGATGTACTGTATTGGACTGTTCAAAATCATTATATTTGTGATCGCGTGGTGTTACAAGTAAAACTTGTTCTACATCGGATTTGGATGGAGGTTGAAGTGTGTATAAATGGGTGGGTATGCAGTACTATCCAATAGTTCGAGTTTTTGAGTAAATGGGATCCACCCGTTACAGTTGGTATCAGAGTCAGACTCCGTCCTTAATCCGGTGTCACGCTAAGTGCCCAGTCCGGAAGGCGTCCGGGTCTGTCCCTGAGTAGGCAGGGTGGACCGACTGCAACGAGCGCGTTGCGTGGATTCGGGTGGGAGAGAATATTATAAAGAAAACTTGTCCCACATCGAATTTGGATGGAGGTTGAAGTGTGTATAAATTGGTGGGTATGTAGTACTATCCAATAATTCAACCCTTTCGTATAAATGAGTAAGTGCCCACCTATTACACGTGGCGTGTTACCTCCAAATATTACCGTTTTCTACCGTCCCCATTCTTCCTTTTATTTTTATTATTATTATTATTATTTTTGTGAATATAATAAAAGGGTTGTTATTATATTTATACTTCGTACAACAATGACAAAGTAAAACTATTACCTCCTTTCTGTTATTAATTTTTGCTCTTAACAAAAGCTGTTCTTTATTTTCCTTTTACTACTACTTATTCAAACACAATGCATATGGTGCTTATACAATTAATTTGGTCGTACTTCTATACTGATTCTGATTCTGATGTGGGTGACTGTAAATGTTTACAGGGAAATTATGCATGCAATGTGGAAGCCTCAAAAGTTCAAGTACATATATTTGTTTGCAACATTCTATGTGTTCACCCTCACACTTCCATCAGCTTCAGCAATGTATTGGGCCTTCGGGGACCAACTCCTCAACCACGCCAACGCCTTCTCCCTCCTTCCCCGTAATGGCTTCCGTGATGCAGCCGTTGTCCTAATGCTCATCCACCAGGTCTCTCTCTCTATATATATATGATTTCATAATCGAATTAGTAGATCTTAACATGACAGGTCAATTTGCTTATCGTTTTGCAGTTCATAACATTTGGATTTGCATGTACACCTCTGTACTTTGTGTGGGAAAAAGTGATAGGGATGCATGACACAAAGAGCATATGTTTAAGGGCACTAGCCAGGCTGCCAGTGGTGGTACCTATATGGTTCTTGGCCATTATATTTCCCTTCTTCGGGCCTATCAATTCAGCTGTGGGGGCACTCTTGGTCAGCTTCACAGTCTATATCATCCCTTCTCTTGCCCATATGCTCACTTACAGGAAGGCCTCGGCCCGTCAGGTAATCTGTCTATTCCCCTTATAACTCCATCCTCATTTGTACCTATTGTCCTGCTGGCATTGTCTAGTCCCACCCCTTTTAGTCACTCGCCATGACTACTCAATGCCATGATTGCTCCGGTTATTACAAGTGTTTGTCCAAAATTCCTAATATATACAAAATACTTGAAGGACTAGCTGAGAAAAGATGTGCTATGAAAAATTGGAGACAATCCAGTCTTATTCTTGCAGTGAATGAGTGGACTGTGTGAAACTCACCTCATTCAATGGAGGATGCCGATTGATCGGATTTGGGTAATTTGACTACCCAATGCTTTCCTCTGCTGAGGAAACAAGACGGGCGTTAGTCTTATTGTGATTTGCTATATGGATTAGGATACTACCTTTTTGCATTTTAACTCAGAAGTGACTTCGACAATTCCAGCTAGAGGTTTTAATGGTTTGGGTTTTGAAAACTATGACATAAGATGTGTTTGGTGGTATTTCATTGTCATTCAGTTATGATGTTATATCAATCAGTATAGGACAGTCACACTCCTAAGTCGTTATCTTGCCATGAGCTGGCTAGCTGACCCACTGAATCTACCCTACTTAGGTTACCAAAAATTAGGTAAAAACTATCCACACCTAAGTTGACAAACTAATATAGTGAATCAAATCCACTTGGCTGGGTAGGGCTTTATACATTGACCTAATTGGTAGAGCACCCAACTGTCCGAGCGGGTGTGTTCGTATTTGAGTCCCCCCTTCCCCTAATTTGAAAAAAAAAAAATCCACTTGGGTAATTTAGTTTCATTTTGACACTTGCATGTGTTCCTACTTCAGTTTTTACCTTACCAATGTGTGTCCTTACACATATACATACATGAATATATTATCCCACATGTGATACTGCAAGTTTCTTTGATTTATGCAGAATGCAGCAGAAAAACCTCCATTCTTCCTTCCGAGCTGGACGGCCATGTACGCGTTGAACACGTTTGTGGTCCTGTGGGTGTTCGTCGTCGGCTTTGGATTCGGAGGGTGGGCTAGCATGACCAATTTCATTAAGCAAGTTGACACTTTTGGGCTCTTTGCGAAGTGTTACCAGTGCAAGCCACCAGCAGCAGCAGGACATCACTGAGTTTGGAACTCATTGAATCACACCATTCTAACATTCTCATATGTTGTGTGCCTTAGTGTTCCCCCTTTTGTTCAGGCTATATATATCAATATATCTATAGATGATGGATGAATGGTGATGATTCCTTTAGTATCATAGCATAATAGTTAATTTGGTTTGACTCTAGTACTATATGTAATTAATGTGGAATGTTTTATATATTCAAATCTAGCATAGTCATTATTATTAGAACCGTGCTACAATTGTGGCGAGTCGATAACCAACTGAGACATAAATGTGTTGACATGAATGTGTTAAAGTCATTACAACAGTTTACACCCAACATCTCATGTCAATTGTCCACTCTCGACAAGTTTAAAGTTTTTTCTTACCGGTGGTTGTCCATTTGTAATGCCACATGGCATCATTGTTCTGGTATTGAAGATGTCCATTTAGAACTGATTTATCAAAAAAAAAAGTTGTAAGAACCTCTTACATGTGATTCCAAATTAAGGATCAATAAGTTCAAAAGATTATATATATATATATAAAAGGAAAGAGAAGCTTTTGGTAAGTGCAGAAAACAAACAACGTGCTTTATCCCCTTATTGGGGGTTGACTAGTCAAATTATAGTAGCAGTATTTAGGCAAATGGGGCCTTCATAGATGTGCACCAAAAGATTCTTTTCGTTTGTTTGGTGTTTGTAGCTTTCATCGATCTTTATCATCATGACATGTCTTGAAGGGCACTAATTTCTCTATTCCTTTTAAATTTTCGTAATTTCTCTATTCCTTTTAAATTTTCGGACACCCCTAAAAAGCTTAAAGACTAATTATATTGGTAAGGAGCGAAGAAAGCAGATAAGGGAAGGTCTTCCCTTTATTTAGTGGAGGGAAGAGAAGGAAAAAGAGTGGAGGAGGGGGATGCCCCTTTTCTCCAAATTCACCATATTCATTCAAATCTTAAGAAAAATTATTATATCATCAAGATTACATAATTTTGACCAATCATATAAAGACACATAAATAAAAAAATACATAAAGTTAACACAATTACATATATGATTCCATATAATTAGTCGGAAACCATGTAAAACTTTCTCCAAATTTGAGATAAAAGGAGGAAAAAGAGATCAATTTTCTCAAAAATTTTCATTCTAAAAGAAACTTTTTAATTTTTATTTTCAGACCCGCAGGGTGGTGTAGTTTGTGAAGGATCATGTACGAGAAAGGGATATTCCTAGGTCCAATTCTCTCTCGAAACTAACCTAAAATTTTACTCGCTAAAGTTTGAAAGATGACATTCTTAGGGTTGACTTGAGATATGGTATATCCCACCACTTTTTATTTTATTTTATTTTTTTTCTAGTTTAATATATATTTTTTAAATACTTACAAATATAGCACTTTGTTCCTATGAATACTTGAGTCATTAATCTTTTACTTTGCGAGGTAGAGCATCTATTCATAACTGCCATATTTTACCAAAAAACTTCATCGAACTATCTTAATGCATAATTATGAAGAAAGTGAGGGGATCTTAATTATAAATCTTAATTATTTATAATTTTCTAGTCGCTAATCAAATTAGGGGTGAATTTGTGAAAGGGTTCTAAAATCCTACCACAATTTGGATAGAATTGCCTAGATTATGTTGTCCCAATTATTTAGTAATTTTGCTTATTTACCGTACATGCGTCATGTATGTGTGTCTGTAAGTTTAAAAAGTGCGCGTTGAAAAAAACATGACATCGTTCCTTGGTCGACAAATAGGACCCCATTTGTTTTGTTAAAAATAGAAAGACTAATGCTTAAATACTAATAATAAGGGTAAATTGGTCAACTACCATCTCAACAAGAAGTAGGAGATGAAGAGGTTCATGAACTAGTGGAATGAGAAGAAGAAGAAGAGAGATGAGCTATAAATCTGTCAAAAAATTTATATGTTGATGTTTGCTGTAATCAGGATCCTGTGTTTTTTTATTTGACAACTTTTTACCTAATCCTTTTGATGATTTTTCTTTTTCTACTCGTATTTTGATTTAACAATTTTCATTTTTACTTCTAATTTATACTGAAGTGTCCATTAGGTGAAAATGTGAAATTATGGCTGTAATCTTTTTCTTCAAACTTTTGTTGTGATGGTAGCTACCGTCGGCAAAGAGTGAATCAAATTGCGGTCCTAGGCATGGATTTGTCATTACACAATCCAAATGTATTAGTGAATTTTGAAAAAGGTTGATTACTTTATTGATGGAATAGTCTCTATTACTCTTGATACTAGTGTGGGGCTAGTTCAAAATCATGGCAGTATAGTTAATCAACTTGAATTTTCCAAGTATTCATGATATTTATGTGATTATGTTCAACACCACGACATATATAACCTTTTTAATGGATATTTTGTTCTAGCATATCGGTAATTCTTTTGGATTGTTAAAGGGGTGGTAGTTTATGTTACGGGTTATAATTGTATCACAGTTATATCGTGTCTATGAATATTTTGTCAAACACTTGAACACAAGTCGTTTAATTATCGTACTAGGGATCATCGATACGAGCATGACCAATATGTTAAATGAGTTACATAAGTAATCAGTTTAATTTAAATGGGTCATGTAATCCGTCTATTAATTTAAGTATGTAAAAAATATATATAATAAAATATTGAGATAATACAAAATAAAATTCATAAAAATGAGAACTATTTGGATAATACAATTAAAAAATGCCAAATACAATATTCATAATTGAATTTATTGAAATAATAAAAATGTCTAATAATTGAGTTAAAACATATTTCGGGCTGACCTTATAATGGGTTGAACTCCAAAATATGAACTTAAAGCTAGTTTGACACGAACACAATTAAAATTAATCCAAACCCACTAAAGTTTATAAGTATATAAAAATGTATATACTTGTAAATAATGTTCAGAAAAGCATGGCCCAAACAATACCATCAGTAAAACCCATGAAGTCAAAGGAGGGCAGCCCATGACTTGAGTCCACAAAGAAAAAGAAAACCCAAAGTGCCCAACTATATCATTTAACTACAAACCATCATAACCCATGGCGGGAACTACCAGTAAACACACCAGTGCAGGGAAGTGCAGGAATGAGAGTATTTTTACCGTGTTTGATACTAGAAAACAGTCGGAGGCGCACCGAATCGATTATAGCATTCGATGTTTGGAGAGGAGGAAGAGATTTGTTTCTGAACATTCTGCTATTTCTTTCCTTCCCAATGTGATACACGTAGCTTACAAATGTGAGTTTTCAGGTTAGCACTCTGCTCAATTTCAATTTATGTTTCCTATTAGAAGCCGTGCAAGTCAGGAACTCTTCCCACGAATTAGGGTTCGATACGAACCCGCTTTCACCACTATTTTAAAAATTGTGCTATAAACACCCTCTTAGTTTACCAATTGGGCGAAAAGCCCCCTAAAATCAATTTTCTATAAAATCTGACATAAAATCATTGAAATATACTCATTTTACCCTTTTTACTCTTTCCAAAATGCCCTCTAGAATTTTATTTTATTTGTTCTATCCTTTCTCTCTTCAAATCCTCACCGGCCACACTTCATTCCTCCATTAAATCCGGCGACTATCTAAAGTGAACTCGACCCACTTCGACGAACCCAATTTCAAACTTCAGTGACCTCCATGGACCTGCATGTGTCTTAATCAGTGAGCCAACCTACCTAAAAGCTAGGGGCGGCTGGACCCTCTGGGACCCTCAAATTTTTTTCTTTTTCATATTATATACTTTCTAAAATTTTTATTTTCTTTATATTATCGTTTCAGCCAATATAAAGGCCCCAATTTTTTTATTTTTTTATTTCCTTATATTATAATCTCTTTAAAATTTTTATTTGCATCGATTAAATCCTAACCAATAGAGATTTAATAGGGACCAAAAGATTTCTATCTTTATTTTATCTCTTTTTTCCCTCTCTCAGTTCCTCATTCATGTTTATTTTTTTTTTCCATAATTTGTAAAACTTTCCATATTTTTATTTTAACTTTTACCTTATTTGTTTTGTTTCATTTTTTTTTTTTTTTTTTTCCCTTCTTATTGCTGACATATTTTTTTTCATTTTTCATATAAGTTATATAATTCTAATCAATTATGTGACAAGAAAGATTAATTAAATTAATTATATATACATATATATATATATATATATATATAAAAGATATGAAAAGCCCATTTTTAAATTTTTGGCCTAACCCTCAAATTATATTGAGTCGCCCGTGCTAAAAGCTCCCATGAAACAGTGTCCAAATTGAACGGAAATAACAGACCCAGTTTTGATGTGTGCTAGTTCGATCCGGCGAGCTTCCGTTCACTCAGTCAGGTGAGCCTTGGCTCGCAAAGTGCAGCTGAGATTGGTGAGTTTTGTTACTCTACATAGTCGATGTCCAAGCTACCTCGACCCACCTTTGCAAAACCGAGCGGCGAGCTCCATTGAAACTCTGGTGACAACGAAACCATTTTAGCATCCATTGAAACTGACGAGTTCCTTCTGTCCAGCGAAACCCAGTTTGGTTTTTAAGCTTTAAGTCATTCTTCATGCATAAAACCTCAACTGCGTTCGAAGTAATAAACTCAGATCAAAAAACGAAGCCAAAACATCACCGGCATCGGTAGAGGCGGAGCCAAATTTTTTTTTCAGGGGGCACATTATATTATTGTATACCATAATATATATTTATACATATATATATATAAGTCAATGTTTATAAGTACATATATATATATATATATATATATATAGGAAGAGATAGTGATATTTTTGAGATGAAATTAATTTATATATATAGAATATAAGGATTAAAATATATTAGTATAAAATATATATAGAATATATTAGAGGGAGAAAATTCAAGGGGACACGTGCCCCTAGTCCTTAACTGCCTCCGTCCCTGTGCATCAGCAACATAACACTTATTTCTATTCTGCGCTATAAGCAAACGTTGCAGAATCAACTTAATCTTTTTTGTGGTTTCAAGGACAATGTCAGTGTCACGCCCCAAGATCTAAATCCCGGATTGTGAACACATCAAACTAATAACCCCATCCAAAATACTAACCTCCCTGTAACCTGTCTCACATACATAACATCCACATATTCATTCCCATTACAGTCCCATACAAGAAAATAAACAAGTAAAATACATCATTTACAACTGTAAAATCTCAGAGTCTGTAATAGAGTTTGTTACACAACAGGGATATACTGAAC